ACTCTATGTCTTTTGACTGGAGCATTTAGTCCATTAACATTTACAGGAATTAATGATAGATGTGTGTTTATTGCCATTTTGAACTTATCTTTGCAGTTGAAGGCAGGTGACTTTTTAGTTCCTTTTGCCTTAAGTCCTTGCCTCCTGAGACTGTATAAATAGGTGGGGAATAGGTGTGTGCCTGACTCCCTGGCCCAAGTCAGAGAATCACATAATTGTGGGTGGCTGGCACGGAACCTCAGTGATTATCAAGACCCATGTCCTTCTCCCTCACTCAGTCAACAAAAACTTACGAAGCAGTGTTGAATAGAATGTGGGCAGGGGTGGCAACTGCTGGGTTCACAGATTTATCCTTGATTCCAAACACACTGGCTGTCATATAGTAGGTGCTCATTAAACATCTTTTGAATGATGGATCATTTCCTGCAGCAGAGTCATCTAGGGGAGCCTATTAAATGCAGGCTCCTTGGCCCACTGTAGACTTACTGAATTGTAATCTCTGGTAACAGGGCCCAGGTGACTGTCATGCCCTTCAGAGTTTGAGAACCATGGCTGTAGCGTCTGAAAAAAGCATCCTCCTACTATCAGAGGGGAGAAAATGCTGGTGTTTACTTCCGAGCATTTGTTGGTAGTGACTGAAATATTCAAGTCAGATGGTTCACTTTGCTGTAGCCACTTCCATGGAGACTGAAGCAGTCTGGGCTTAGCCCAGGGTATGTGCAAGGCAAACTTTCACTAATCTCGGAGAAGCAAGGCCAATAAAAAGGCAGAGGAGATAAGAGTCAAGCCACATGAAGTTCAAGTTTGGCATGATTAGTGCCCTTCACTTGAAAGTCATAAAATAGGAAATGTGCCACCATTCCAGCTTCCTGGTAGGGGTTGCTGGTGTGAGGTTTTTCTCAGTCCCTTTCAAGGGTCTGTGGCTTTGACCGTGCACAGATCTGCCTTCAGATCTCAACTGTGTCTCTAACTGCATGGTCTTGGGCTTATCACTTTAACCCCTTTTAAGCTTTAGTTTCCTCGGTCATAAAATGGACATCACATTGCCTACTCCTCAGGGTCATTGAAGACAATCTGAGATGATATAAACTCAGGTATCTGGCACACACGCAGTAGAGAAAACCTGTTAAGTTTTGGCTGATACCTATAAACTGCCATAATATCTAGGCTGGGGGGTTCAGTAGAGGCTCTCTTGTTTTTACAGGTAGGGTAACAGTCTCAGAGAGGGGAAGCTAATTGTACAAGGTCATCAAGCCCATTAGGCTTCTTGAAGGCTTTTATGGACCAGAGAAGGTGATGAGGCTGTGACTCTGTGGGTGGCCTGTGATAAAGGAATTCCTGGGATAAGGTGCTTTTGTAAAAGCGGCTAGATATCTCAGGTGAGGTGCCTTCTCACTTGAGTTTCTTGCTAGCCAGAAGCCCATTCTGAGGACGTGGGGATTAGTGAGAACCCCCCTAAAGCTGGACAATTTGTGGCTTTTCTATCAACACCAGAGTTTTAAAGACAAAAATCTTTGACTGAGTGCTGTTGAGGCCTTCCCTGGAGGCCCCGTCTGGCACTGCAGCTCTGCCAGGCCAAGGCTGGAGATGGCTGGCCTTGGGGACCTTCCAAGAATGGCCTCTGGGCTATAAGAGGGCACAATACCAATCAGAAGCCAGGCTGGATCTGGTAGGGACACTTCTGGAAACAGAGTCCCATGGGGGTCTGACCCTGGTGTCTGTGGGCAGAGCAGAAAAGCAGGGCCTTAGATGAGCTCACATCCTCCGTGCTAACGGTGATGACATTGGTGATTGTGGTGATGGTAATGAAAGAGTGAGAATAAGCTCTTCCTCTCTGCCGGGTGCTGGGCCAAGCAATTTACTTTACATGCAGTTTCATTCAGTCTTCACAAGATCCCAACATGGAGGAAACTGCAGCTCAGAGAGGTTAAGTAAATAACCAAAGGCCCAAAGCTAGTGAGCACCAGGATTCCAATCCAGATCAATTGGATTTCAAGGTAGCCAGCAGCCTGTAAGTGCTGGAAGAAAGGAAAGTAACATTGTTCAGGGCCTTCAAGGGACATATATTTTATCTCCATTTTTACAAATGAGGAAACAGAAAAGCAGAGAGGTTAGCATATTCCCCATGAAGGCAGGTACTGTACCAAGCCCTTTACATATATTATCTCCTCAATCATCAAAACATCCCTGTGAAATAAGAAATTCTAAGATCCTCATTTGTGTACATGAGGAAACCAAGGGCTGAGACTAAATGACTTGCAGGTATTCAAAACCAGGCAGTCTGACTAGAGGGCCCATGCTCTTAACTTCCTGAGTTGCCCAACATGGGAATGAGATGTGGCAGGCTGGACCAAAACCCAGGACTCCTGACTCCCAGGCTAATGGTCCAAGGCCACGTGTAGGCTCTCTCTTGGGATTCATTGTTCCTTAAAATTGCACTGGTCTAAGGCCCAAAGAGTGAAATCACACCCTGCAGTTCGAGGAACCTCAAGCTGGAGAAGGGAAGTCTTGCTCTCGTGTTCAAGTCTGAGCAGGTGTACTGGGGACTCTCCCTGTTTCCTCCTCTGGCTGGGAGGGAGCCCAGGCAGGGCCAGCAGGGTGGAGCAGCCCTTGTGAGTGCAAGGTGGGAGGAGAGCAGAAGGCAGGAGGATCCAATAAATTAGGTCTAATTCTTCCCACCTTCCCGCCTTTATCCAGGTGGTGCCCTTACCTCCTGCTTGGCAAACAGTAGGGCATGATGATCAGAGTTCAAGATTGGCATCAGGAGGCCTGAGTTCTGGTTCTGGCTCTGGCAGTCACTCCATGTGCACCCCTGACTCTGGATACTTTCCTTATCTATACAATGTGTGGTGGTGACAACGGGAGATCAAAATCCTCTGGGGTTTTCAGTTAACACATTTATCAAGCACCTACTATACACCTGGCACTGGAGACATAGCATGTGCAAAAACAGATTCAGGCCCTGCATTCACGGGTCTTAGAATCTAGTAATAAGAGACTTGAAGATCAAATCTTCACTGAAACTAATGTAAAATGACAACTGTTACCAGTGTTTTAAAGGAAAGGCTGCAGAGCTAAAGGAGTCCAGGATGGTGGGAGTTGGGGGAGAGGGAATGGGTTGACAATCTGAAGGGCAATGGGGAAGGATGCCGGGAAGATGTGGTTTACTAGGTGAATGTCCGCTGGTTTGGACAGCACTCCATGTGTAGAGCCTGCTGTGAGATGGTTCATCCAAAAAACTGAGAGAAGGCCAGTGGGCCTGGGGAAGCAGGCAGGAGGCTGGTCACTTCAAGGCATTGTGGGCCATGGTAAAAGAAATCATTTAAGTTTAGGGTTTTTTGGGGGGGGTTAGGGAGTGAGGGGGAGACTTGAGAGAGAGAATAAACTTAGAATGAGTCAATGCACCTAACAAGGAAAAGATTTTTTAAAATGCCACCCCCTCCTAGGAGCCTTCCCTGATTTCTCCAGCTTTGACCTGTGGTATCCCTCCCTCTCTGGCCTGCAGCCTGGCTAGACAAACTCAAGCCTCCAGCACAATCAGATCTGGGCTTTGTCGTCCTGTATTGAATTGCACTGTGGCTTCAAATGAGGGCCTCCGCCTTCTCGGGCCTCAGTTTCCCCAGCTGTGCAGAAGCAGGTTGTCTCTAAGGACCCGCCCAGAGCTAACACAACGTGATTCGCTCTGGCAGGAGCGGGGGGCTGCCCGCATTGCTGCGTAGGCAACGGGCTGCTGGCTGGGGCACCATCACCTGGCTGCGGGCGCTTTCCTCCCGAGCTGGGGGCCGCGAGCGAAAATCGCGGCGCCAGAGGTTGCGCAGGGAAGGGGGCGCGCGACCCCCGGCTCGCGCGGCCGCTGCGCGGCCCCGCCCCCGCAGCCAGCGGCCCTGCGGCAGCCGGGGCCTGAGCTCCGCCCTCCTCCCGCCGGCCTCTCTCCCTCCTCCCGCCTCCCTCGCTCGCTCGCTCTCTCCCCCCCGCGGCGGGCTCGGCGCTGACTCCGCCGCACGCTGCAGCCGCGGCTGGAAGATGGCGGGGAACGACTGCGGCGCGCTGCTGGACGAAGAGCTCTCCTCCTTCTTCCTCAACTATCTCGCCGACACGCAGGTACGGCCAGCAGGGGCCGCGGGCCTGGGCCATGGGTGCTGAGCTGTGGGGGCTGCCGCCGCAGTCGCGGAGGCCGGGATTCAGAGGTAGGAGCATTGAGGGGACCGGGGGTTCCAGGTTGCGGAGCCCCTCTTCCATGCACCCTGCGATGTTCGTCGTTACGGCGACAGGGAGCTGGAGGTCCCCCCGCGCAAGCCGGAGCATTGGGAGAGCTACGGCCGCTGGGGAGGGTCTAGCCATGGTTGCTTAAAGTCCGCCCCCACCCCCCCCCGCCGGCAGAGCTGAGGGGTTCCGCGCTTGTCGGGTAGGTGGAGCCGCGCCAAGGTGTGAGGGAACCTCAGGCTGGTTCTGGGTTCGGGAGGCGCGCCCTCAGGCTCCCGGCACTTGCTGCCGTACTTTCACGTGGACTTGTGGCCCGGGCACAGGCGCCTGCGCCCGTCCGCGGAATCCCCTGGTCCTCCAGTCTCGGATCCCCCGCGCGCTGCTGTTGGCCCCCCGAGGCTCCCGAAGGGCTCCCGCAGCGCGGAGTTTCCTGCCAGTTGCCCGCTGAGAGTATAGGGGTCTTCGGGGCACGTGGACAGGCGGGCGGGGATAGAATCTTCCTGGTTTCGCTACCCGGCGTAGCACCGGGGGAAAAGCACGGCAGGATGGGGGCGGAAGGACTGTTTGGGGGCGCCTAGGTCCCCCTTCGGCGCGCGGCCCTGGTGCGCGCTATGCTGGGGGAAGGGAAGGCGAGGCGGCGTCCCGGGATTTGGCTGCGTCTGGGAGCCCCACCGGCGACACGCGCGTGACAGGAGAGGGTGTTCTGGTGTGCTGGGAGTGGGGGCGAGGAAGCTGGTGACTTGGAGGCGGGATGGGGGGTGCTGCTGGGATAAACAGCACGGAAAAATGCCTGCACAAGGCATGTGCGACCCCCACCTCCTCCCCGGTTTTCCCCACCCCATGCCTGTTGCAAGCATAAAGTTTGGCCCCATAGTTAGGGGTTTTTCTACTGGCGCCCCGCTGCGGGTAGCCGGGCGGCTGAGGATGCGGCGGAGCGGAGAATGAGACCCCGGATGCGGGCGCATGCCTGAGCGCCGAGAGGGGCCGCCGGGCGCAACCGGGCGCGGCTCGCGGGGGCTGGTTTGGTACCTGGAGTCGGAGCGCCGGTGCCGGCTTGTTTTGCATAACACTGGAAGGGAGGGGGAAGCCGGGGGGGGGGCGGGATGTGGGAGGGGAGAGAGGGAAACTTTGCTTCTTGTAATAATCTGCCTGTCTTTGGGCGGCAGCAGCTGTCATGGGACCGGGTGGGCGGGGAGAGGCTTGCAAGCTGACTCCTTGCCGTGAGACGCGACTTGGAGGGGACGCAGCAGCGGAGACATTCAGCACCAGGCTGACTCCGGGTGGCGAGTCCGGGCTGGCGGCTGGGACGGCATGGCGTGGCTGGGTGTCGCGGAGAGGAAGCCCGCCACGCGCGGGAGGCCATCCCTCGCCCGCTGCAGACGTCCATGCGTCAGGGAGCCGCGGGGCCTCGTGGTCGGTGGTGGGAGCTCTCGAGTGGGTTCCGGGCAGGGGCCGAATGGCCTGGTGGCGTGTAATCACGCTTCTCCAGGCCGCGGGGAGTGTGTGATGAGCGGTCTGCGCGCGCGGGTATGTGTGTTTGTGTGCACACGCCGCGCGCGCCGGGCGCGTACCTTTACCTCTGACGAAACTGCAGTGAAGCTCCCGCGGCGGTCACCGGGCGCCGTCACTCGCCCCGCGCCCATGTCTGCTCCGATCCGCCCCGCGCCCTTGTCTGCTCCGATCCCAGCCTCGGCCCCACCAGTGCCCCCCAGCCGACAGCCAGGGACTAGAGAACTGGGTGCGGACGGGCAGAGTTGCCCCTGGGAAAGTTCTGTCCCTCGGCACTCGCACTTGTCTGCGGTTATCTCCAAATCTCTCGACTAAGACGCTGCTGAAGGAGGTCTGAAATAGCCAAAGACTCGTTCAGAGACCCATAGCAAGAACTTGTCCGTTTTGGACCCTACGCCAGATTTTAACTCCATCTTCTGTGTTCTTTGGCTCACCGATAATTAATTTTTTGCCCTTTAGCCGCCCAGCGGGCCTACCCTGCAGGGGTATTTTACCCAAGGAAACTAGAAAATTGGGTAATCAGGTATCAGTAGAAGCGGTGCAGTGAAAGTTAATCTGGGACGTTTGCTTTTTTTGTTTAACCACGTGACAGGCAGAGGATCTTCTGATGATCTTTGCCGGCCCAACTTGGGAAATGTAATTGATAGGGGGAGCTTTGCAACCGCCCCTAGAAGGCTCATAGAGCCAGCCAAAAGAGGACCTGGGCGGGCCATCGCCTGCCTCCTCATTTTACAGTTGGGGACAGAGGCTGTGAGGGCTGAGCGGCTGGTACAGGACCACGCAGCCAGTGGGTGACAGAGCCACCCAGGGCTCCTGACTCCAGGTCCTGTGTGTTACCTCGAAATAGCACTGGACTTGGAGTCAGAAGGCCTGAGTGGAATCGCCTTCCCCACTCTCTGGCTGGGTGACCCCGGAGCAAGCCATTTTAACTCTCGGAGCCTCCTTTCCTCCATCTGTCAAATGGGGCTGGTGGTGCTAGCAAGAGAAGCCAATGGCCTGGTGGTGGGGGTGAGCACTGTTTGCATGTGAGATGTCTGGTTGTTCCTGCAACTTCCTCTCTTCCCCCAGACCCTGCCTGACCCTCCTGTCCTCCATCTCCCTCTTTGGAAGGGGTGGGGAGAGTGAGTAAAAAGTATTTGTTGTCTTTATCTCAAAGACTTGTCTTTGATGGCTAATCCAGGGTTAGATAGAGGGAGGACTTGCGTTTAGGAGACTTAACTTTTACCCATTTAGGCCAAAGTTCAGAAATTCAGCAGACCAAGATTGTGAAAGCTTCTTGGAAAGGTTTGGGGCTTGTATCCGGAAGGACTTTGGGTTGGCTTCACTTTGCTCAGGCTGTGCCCCTGGCCTGCAGAGTCCTCACCCACCATTCCTGCATGGCGCTCTCTAGCAGGCCTCCCCAGCCCAGCTCGTCCTGCTTTCTCTCTCTTCTGGTTTTCTTCGTCTGTGTTACACAACCAAGCACTTTGTGTATTAGTCCTGTGACCCAGTAAGATTCTCGAACTAGAGTTGTGCCTTTCATCTCTTTGTGCCCCCCATGGCACCTGTCACCCTGCTGAGTTCCTTTGCTCAGCTCTTGGCTAGGCACAGGAATGACAGACAAGGGGGAGCTCTCAGGCTGGCTGGGAAGACAGCTGGGCAGCGAGTATGGGGAGAGAGGAATGCAGAGGGCTGCAGCTGTGGGCAATGACTTGGGCTCCAAAGGCCACACAGTAAGCCCACGCTAAATATGGGTTGTTTGAAGTTGCTTGGGGCATCAGTCATAGATGCCCAAAATGTCAGAGTTGGCAGGAACTTCACAAATCATCGGGTCCAACTGCTTATCATTTAAAAATATTTAATGATAGAATTGTTAGAAAATAATGGCAAACATTAAAAAAAATTGAAAATATGTCGTCTTACCCTAACATAACCACAATTAATTTGCATAGGGGATATATTTCCAGACTTTTTCTTTCCTATTGATTTCTATTGATTATATCTTTTGTACCAAAGTAGAATCATTCTTTATAAACTGATTGTAACTTGAAATCACACTGTTGTAATTTGCTTTTTTCCCTCCTCCAAACAATACGCTGTGCCTGTCTTTCCACATCAATAAATATTCTACTTAATATCTTAATGGTTATATAGTATTGAGGGGTTGAACCAAAATGCATGTTATCAATCCTGTATTGTTACTCACTTAAGTAGCTTATAATTTTTTTTGCTATTGTAAGCCATGCTGAAATGAATATCTTTGCATATGTCTTCTTTTCTTCATTTAAATTCCTAGAAATGAAATTACTCTGTCAAAGGAACTATGCAGGCGTTTGGTAAACATATTTCTGGATTGCCTTCTAGAAAGATTGTACTAATTTATACACCAGCACTGTGTGGGAATGCCTGGTTCTCTACACCCAGATAACTCTTGGTATTTTAATTGTTTTTCATATTTACCAGTTTGTTCATCAATAAACTTTGTCCATCCCTGTCGTTTTAATGTGCATTTCTTTGAGGACTTGTGATCCTGAACCTTTTCCCCGTATGATTGTGGGCCATTTGCAGTTCTATTCTGTGAAATGTCATATTGGTGAACTTGGCCCATTTGGCATTTGGTATCCTGTCTCCTCATTGTTGTAAACCTGGATCTGAGTGCCCAGGAGGGGCCCTTGCTACATGGAGACTGGGGAAAGTGGCTTGAAGTCTAAGTGTTAACTTGCTAGGTTTGAAACGTTGCTGCCTCCACAGCCACTGAGGCTGGGACTAACTTCTTTTCCAAGTTACAGTTCTGGCCATCTGTAGGGGCAGGCTACAGTGCAACCTCTGCTGGGTGCCTTTGTCCACTCTTCACCTGTGTGAGGCCCAGGGGAATAACTTCTTTACCCCAGCCTGGGAGGGGACACGTTTGCTGGCTTTGTTTACTGGTGGCCCAGGATCCACTTTCACTGGAGCTCCCTGGTTGGTGCTAATGATCAGGATGCTTGTAAAACCCAGGAAAGGCTATGGCCCAGCTACTGGGCCCTGGGGGCTCATATTTACCCTTCACCCTGGGACCCTCCTCTCCCCAGCTGGTGCAGGCCAGCCAGAAGCTCCACCATTGCCAGGATGTGAGTCACCCTTTCCCTTCTCTCTGAAACAATAGAAGGAATACTGGTTTGAGTCAGAAGCAGCCTTGCAAATGGGGGCTTGGGCTTGGGCTTGGAAGTGAGTCCCTAACACGAGAGCATTGCATTGTTAACAGCTGTCTCCTTCTGCATCACTGTCATCATCAATGCCGTTTATGGAGCATCCTCTAGGTGCTCTGCACTCTGCTGAGCCTTCTATTTGCATTATTATATTTCATTCTCACAAAGATCCTACAAAGTGTAGGTGCTGTTATTCCCATTTTGCAGATGAGGAGTTCACAG